ATTATGCATCAATAAAAGTTACGTTTAAAAACTTTTTCTGTCAATAATGACTGAGTAGGTTGTTTTATCCTGAACGGCTAGAACATTGGGACAAGATATTTGTTTTAAGTTTCTTTGAAAACACAGAATACATACCAAGGTAGACTTTTTGGAAAATGCAAATAAAAATATGAGACACTCAGTTAAATTTCAGTTTCAAACAATATTTTTCAGTATGTCTTCAATGTTACATGGGTTATACTTACAGCAAAAATAAGTTTTTGTTTATTTTAAACTGAACTGAAAGCTTGATGACACAATCTTTATCATTTATTATGCCCTATCTAGCTTTGGAAGTTATTCTTATTCATTTTCTCCAAAGCAACCTATTTTTCTATTGCTAAAAGGAGTACCCTTTGCTTTAATACCTACAGGCATACACAATTCCATACATTTTCTTTTAATCTATTTAGAAGACCATATTATAATTCGCATAATGTTAATGTGTCATCTGTTGGTTCGTGAGTTTTTTGTTTTGCTTTCTTTTGACTTTTTTTGGAAGCAATCTCTCACTATGAAACTTGGCTTGGTGTTTTGCTGCTGTTTTGGAAATTTGGAAACTTATACCAGCAAGCACTGATTCACCAGTCATTGTCAGAGGTAAGGAATACTTTGGTAAACGTATGGTCCAGAAATTGTTCTAGTTACTGTACTGACTGCAGTGTACTGAAAATCAGAGGAATGTTCCCCCAAATGCTGGGACACAATGAGCTCCAGGATTCTCATGGGACCCCATGCAGGAAGAGCTCTCCAGCTAAAACCCAATGTAACACTGCCTGCCTGAGGGGCTTAGCTGCTCTCAGTTTCACTTAGAAATGGTATAAAGATAGAGTGGTTCTTGTTCCAAATGTTTCAGAACATTTTCATCTACCTCCACCTATTTTAAATGAGTAAATTTATAAATAAGTGAGTACATTTATAAGTGACAATTCCAGCATTATCTGTTGACTCAAAAATACAACTTCAAAAAAATTCAAATTTCTCTTATGCATTGCAGATTGTTTTCATAACTTTTATCCAATTGGAATCTACTTCTGTAAGTGTCATGACTGTATTTTTGTAGTTAGGAAAAAACTGAGGTAGGTAGCACTTTCTTGTTGGACATCTCTGAGTTTCAATAACCCGGAGGAGAATGTTCAGGTCCATCAGTATGGATCAAGTGTGGGGGCCGCAGCATCATTGGAATGTCCTGGGAACTCAGTAAAGATGGGCAGTAGTTGGACAGACTCATCATTAATCTCTGAGACTCAGGAATAATACACGGACCTTAAGAAGCATTTCTTCAGCATCTCTGGTCCACACGTGTATTTTAGAATAGATCTTACTACATTGTTAGCTGTATTATTAATAAGTACTTATATTCCACAATGCCAGTTTAAACCCCAATTCAATTTTTGGAAATTGAGGCAGTGGGAGGTTAAGCAATTTTAGAAAGAAAATTCACAGAAACTTGAGTGGAGAAGCCCTCCATGCCTGCCCCCTTTACTATCCTGTGCAGCTCCTACATACACTTCACCCTGATTTCTATTCCCCTCACTTTTATTGGCAGTTAATTTAGCCTGTTCTCACATGAGATGGAGCTCTGATGTTTTCAAGAAGGAATTTGATCCTGTCCCATAGACTTTCTCTTAGGGCTTGGAGAACATTAGAGAGTATCCCCTGGTCTCAGGCAAGTTGTTCTTCAATGCATATCTTCTCATCAGGTCTAATCCCCAAGCCCCATTCCCAGAACAAAGAGGCAGGCTTTTCTGAGGTTCACAAGAGGAAACCCAGAAGAAGCAGCGTCAAGACACTTCGAGGCATCCACACCTTTTCTGCGGGTTCAGCTGGCCTCATTTCATGCATGCATGCTGGTATCCTACAGTCCCTAATTAGACCAGCCCCTTAGAACTCTGACTTGGTGCTGCTGAAACCCCATGAATGTCCCAATGGAAAGTTTCCTCAGCCTATGACAGGTGCAGCATCCTGGTTGCACTCTGGGGCTAGGACAGCATCTGCCCTGTCAGAGCTCCTGTCTGGGCTCAAGTGCAGGGCTAGGAAGCAGCTCCTCCACCAGGTTAAGGGAACATATGCAGCTCTAAAGCCAAAATCCCAAATGAATTGAGTTTCATCTGAGAAAAATGGAGAGACAGGCACCAGACCATGGCAGAGCTACTTAGCTGCCAGAAGTCCACACATGGGGTAAGAACATAAGAGGTGTGCCATGGGAATTACAGCAATTAGCCAGCTCCTTGGGACTCTGTGCCTCTTTCTTTTTCACATTGCCAAGTTTGCACCTATATTCTTTTCCTAGACCTCATCTATGTCTTCTCAGATCTTTGAATTTACTTCAGGAAATATTAGTGAAATATGTTCTGTGAGATCCATTTACAGTACCTCATTCCTTAGCTATACAAAGGTGGTAACATACGATCCCTGTGCCCAAGTAGTTCATAGTTCACAGGACTTTAAAAGCATCTATGACATAGTAAGGACCAGGAAGAACAGGACTTGGAGGAGAGAAAGGACGTGGGCATGGATTTGAGAGCTGAGTCATTGTTTCCCAGTGAGATTGTCAAGACACACTGAATCATCCTCAGAGATGTCATCTGCAGTTTCCTCATTCTGTTTGCTGGAAGTGGATGTAAGAGGGAATCAGGGAAGGTGTACATGTATCCATATGTGGATTTGTGTCCCAAGCAGAAGGTGGTACACAGCCACGGGTCCCATAACATCCAGGAACACTCACATTTGTAGCATAAACTGGGAACTACAGAACATTGTGTTACTTACCAAGTGGCCACTGCCTCCATTGGTTCGTGTATCAGCAGTGTAAAGTTTTAGATATTTTCATGTCGCCCACTGCACCTAACTGATTGGTGCCTTCATGACAATAGAAGCATCATGCATGTTATTGACTGGCTTTTGTTTTGGTTCAATAGACCAAATTAATTCTTGGTGACTGACACAAGAGGAGGGAGGAAGACAGGAATAAGAGACCAAAAACATTCAGTACATTTCAAAAGCTTCCACTTGGTCTCCCCTGACTTAGAAGGCCACCAGGCCCCAGCCTCATTCCTTGAAAAATCCTAGAGATGTACGCACCACATAGTCCTGCTGGGATATCAAGCTCAAAATTCTATAAAAAGAGCCCTCCCACTCTTTTCCCACTCTCATCCATGATAATTCCATTCCATGATCATTAGGCTAAATGGCGAGTGGCATTATCTTGACTGATTCACATTTTCCATCTTACACAGGAATGAGTCACTAAGTCTTGAATGCACTTCCTACAAAGTCTCTCTTAATCCATTCTATTCTCAGTCCCATACCAGCAATGGCTCTGCCTTCCTCCTGTCTTCTCTCAAATAGCTTGATGGAGCGGGTGTAACCCGATGTTTCCTGTGAACCTGGAGCCTCAAAATCTCTACCACAGTGACTGGTTCCCTGGGAATCCCAGACTTCGCACTGGGGAGTTTCCAAAGGAAAAGATATGCTTGGTGAAGCTCATCTCACCCATAGGCAACAGAAAGTGGCCACTTAGGGGCTCCCCATGCGCCCACCAAGTAGGATGAGCAGAGAGAGAACACAGACATGGGCTCTCACCTGTTCTGCTTCTGTAAAAGGGTCCACCTTCTCCTCTAAGGGCTGTCGTACTTCTAAGAGTCCAGACTTGGTTCCTTCTAAGGAAGGCAGCTTTGTCACAAGCTCCCCAGCCCAGCTCTGGCTAAACTGGAACCCAGCATCAGGGACGCCTTTCTACAGAGCAGAGAATGTTTCTATAACGTGCACGATTGTCCCAGCCTTTCACCAGCTTCCGCCTGGAATTCCCGCACACTCATCCATAATTCTACAGAATTCATACAAGAAATCATTACACTTTACTGTTCAAAGTGGAGTGATAAGCAGAGGGAAGAAGAAACTAATATTAAAATGTATTTGGCCAAAGAACAAGTATCCATTCCTAAAGGCTTTCAGAAGCTCTGATCAAAAGAATGTTTGTTTAAAATTACATTATAATTTAAATTCTTGTTTAATAGAAACATAATACCATCATTGTTGTTTTTGAAAATATGGAATAAAGATTATTTTTAATTTATGACAGTGATTTTTCTCTGGGCTCTACAACCTGCTGGGTTATCTTATTGGCACTAGATTCCATGATTATCACTGATCCCATAACAAAAATTAAATGAAAACAGATATTCAGTCTACACAAATTCACCATATGCAAACCTGAAGCATGATCATGGTTATTCAGTAAGTGAATGAATGCAATTCCATCAATCTCCTCACTACTGACAAATTCAACCAAATGTTTAACAGTGATTAATTTCTGAGATTCAATCCAGCTTCACACAGCCACAGACTGATGCCCTTTTGTACCCACCAGCTGGGATTCCTGAGTGCCTCACAGGAAACCACATTTTGATACCACTGCTCCTCTGTCCAGATTCACCGCGTCCTCTGTCTCTCCCACCCAGAACCCACTGTGCCATTCCAGATGCGGTGATGTTTTCTAAAAGTCTATCCTCAAGCCGGGGCCCAAACGCCATTCTCCACCCACCCATTACCCAACCACATCACATCCCAAGGTCAGAAGCTCAGCTCCAACAGTACCCAAGACAGCTGGTTCGTTCAGCCCCGCAGGGATTCGTGAAGCCAGGTCACCTAACACCCACGGGCAGTGACCCTGGACCTGCTGCCTTTGGCACATTCCCTCCACATCACTTAGCTCCATAGTTCAGTTTTCTGTCTCTCTGAGGGGCTGCAAGCTACTCAAGGCCAGAATCTGTTGAGTCTGTCTCCACAATACCAGCGCCCACAGAGGGCACGTCCTGAGCTCAGGCCGCATGAGCTGAAGGAACAAATGAAGGAATGGCAGGCAGAGGGCCTGAGCTGGAGGAAACTGGACTTCACTGAAACTTCCTGTTTCCCTTTTGTCATTCGGCCAAGTATGTGCAGGAAAATGCTGAAAGCCTGGTCGTGGCAGTGTGTGATACTGCCACCCTCCCTTTGGGTGAGGATGAGGAGGACACATGCTTGGGCCACGCATCATAAAACCCAGCTCAGGATAAAAGGGCTCTGGTCGTGGATGCCTCAGTGTCAGTTCTCTCAGGAAGTGGCTCCTCTGCCTCCACAGAGCCAGGTGAGTGCCCACGGGGGAGAGGCCCTGAGCGGAGAGGGCTGAGCAGACTAGTCTGTGCTTCAACAGGCAAGAGGAGTGGGAACCCGGATGGAGGTGCCCAGGGACCCATGGAGGGCACAAGGAATGCGATGGGGGAAGGGCTGGACTGCAGAAAGGAGAGGCCATGAGCCACGGTGGGGGTCCTGTAATGCAGCCAGTCCTACGCCCCCTGTTCCCCACTTCATGTTCCCAGAGGTGCATCTGCTGCCTCCTCAAATCCTCACTGAGTTTCCTGCTCCTCACCAAGCTCCAGAGGCTGCCAAGCCCTGGAGGGTAGTGAGGTGCTGCAGGTTCTGTGTGCAGAGTACCTGCAGAGGGCGCTATTCACAGTGAGCTGTGGGACAGCCAGGGAGGGCAGGAGCAGAAACCCTGGAGGCTCACCTAGGAGTCTGTCATCTGCCCTCCTGGCTGGAGATAAGAAAAGGCTCAGTTTCACTCCAAATCGGTCTCCATTTGCCTTCTCCAGATCCTGACTGAAGCCCAACTCAGTCTTCGGGGAGAGGATCTCCATCTAAAGCACAGGATGAGGCAACACTGGCCTGCAGCCTCTGCACTGACTACTATTCCGTTTTGCTTTAATTTTCCCCAGGCTCTCCGACCCCAGAGAGATGTCCTGCCAGCAGAGCCAGCAGCAGCAGCGCCAGGCCCCTCCCCAGTGCCCCTCCCCCAAGTGCCCCCAGAAGAGCCCGGCACAGTGTCTGCCTGCTGCCTCCTCCTGCTGTGCGCCCAGCTCTGCGGGCTGCGGGGGCCTCAGCTCCAGCTCCGGGGGCGGCTGCTGCCTGAGCTCGCACAGGCGCCGCAGGTCGCACAGGTGCAGACTGCGGAGCTCGGACTCGTGTGATGGTGCCAGCGGCCGGCAGTGTGGGGGCTCTGGCTGTGGCCACAGCTCTGGGGGCGGCTGCTGACCTGGACCTGATGCTGAGACCTGGATTTCGGAGGAAACAAGAATCCCAAGAGCCAGGGAGCGGCTCATCTTGACGCGTGCTTTCCAACATGTTCTGCCCTGGCTGCTTCAGCCTTGGTGCTGGGTTCCTGTCCTGGGTTCCAGCTCTCCCAGAGTCCACATCCTGGCTCATGCCCGCATCTCAAGTCCCACTGAGGATTGTACCTGCCCGGGCTTCACCTTGTCAAAAAATAAAAAGCTCACTGTGTCCTCACCACTGGCGTCTTCCTGTCCTTTCCCTGTGAGTCTCCCAGGTGGCTGCTGTGTGCCCTGCTCCTCTGCTCCTCAGATCCAGGGCTGCCTGCCACACAGAGGGCACAGAATCACAGCTCTGGTCTGGAAAATACTGAGGCCTCTCAGGTCTTTTCATACTGAATTAGTAAGTCAGCAAGGGAGAGGAGAGGAGAGGGAGTGGACTAAGGCCTCTAGAAGGAATAGCTTATCCAGGAAAACGTGGGGTGCGTATTCATCTTACAGTAGACTCCCTAGCTGCCATGAGCAGCCACTGCTTTCTTTTGATGAGCTGTTCCTGGCATCCTCAGTAAGAAAGAGTGAATTTATTGTCAGTAGTTACCCACTAACGATACCAGTTTGATAGCTACCCACCAAAAGCTAGGCAGAGCAGGCCGAGCTTTTCAACTGCAGGAATTTGGCTCTCCAAGGGACATTTGGAAATACCTGAGGACACTTTTGGTTGTCAAAACTGAGGCTTAGAAAAATCACTTGGTGAGCAGAGACCATTATGCCCCTAGACATCAGAAGCACAAGATAGGCTCACACATGGAATTATCCATCCCCAAATCCCAATAATGCAAAGGCTGAGAGAACACCAACTAGTTCAAGGAAAGAATGGCCTCAGGAAAACCAGAACATTTCATCTACCCAATGATATTCCACAGAGAGGAAGTAGTTAAAGCTAAAGATGTTATGGGTCACAGGAGAGATGGGACCGAGCATTTAGGAAATGTGATAGTAGGAAGAATGTTGCCTATAGGACAGGTAGAAAAAAGACAAAGAGAAAGTAAGTAGTATTTACTGTGCAATAGGGATTTTGTTCTTAAAGTTTTAACCTACACCTATGTCTTCAAGACTTCTACGTGTCATCTCTTCCAGCAGGTTTAGTATTTCTGTTCAAGTATTTAGATTTTTGATCCATTTTAATTTTGGATCAGTGCATGGTGAGAGACAGAGGTCTAGTTTTAGTCTTTAGCATGTGGGGAGCAAGTTTTTTTCAGCACCATTTATTAAAGAGGCTGTCTTTCTTGTAGTGAAAGTGTTTGGCCCCTTGTCAAAAATAAGTGACTGTGTTTAGAGTTGTTTCTGCATCTTCCAATCCTTTCCATTGATCCTTGGGTCTGTTTTTTTTGCTAGTACCATGATGTTTTTATCATAGTAGCTTTGTAGTATACTTTAAAGCCAGGGATTGTGATGTGTACTTCAATGGTTTTGTTGCCCTGAATTGCTTTTGCTATTCTAGGTCTCTTCTAGTTCCAACTGAATTTTAGGTTTTTTTTCTAATTCTGTGAGGTATACGATTGATATTTTGATAAGGATGCATTACATTTGTATAACAATTTTGGCTGTTGGTTTGTCAGAGATAGCTTTTATCAGATTGAGATAAAGACCATCTACTCCAATGTTCTGTAGGATTTTCTTTTAATCATGAATTGGTGTTGGACTTTGTCAAATGTTTTTCTGCATATATTAAAATGATCATGTGGCTTTTGTCTTTGCCTCTGTTGATATGGTTTATTATATTTATTGATTTCCCTGTGCAAACCATGTCCGCATGCCTGGGATGAATCCTACTTGGTCATGGTGTATAATCTTCTTGATGATTTGCTGCATTCTCTTTGCCAGTATCTTATTGAGAATTTTTGCACCTATGTTCATTAGGGAAATTGGCCTGTCGTTCTCTTTTATGGTTGGATCCTTCTTTGGTTTTGGTATTGTGGTAATGCTTGCTTCTGGGAATGAGTTTGGGAATATTGCTTCCCTTTCAATTTCATTAAAGAATTTGAGGAGTAGTAGCATTAGATCTTCTCTAAATACCTTGTAGAATTCAACAGTGAATCCATCGGACCTGAGTTTCTTTGTTGGCAAGTTTTAATTGCATCTTCAATTTCACTGACTAATATTGAGTTATTTAGGATTTTTATATCATCTTTGCTCAGGTTTGGCAATTCATATGTATCTTAGAATTTGTCCATTTCTTCTGTTTTCCATCTTATTAGAATAAAAGTTCTCTAAGTAGGTGTTGATTATCTCCTGAATTTCTGAAGGATCTGTTGTGATTTCACCCTTTTCATTACTAATTGCATGGATTTGAGTCTGTTCTTTCCTTTGTTTGATAAGGTTAGCTAAGGGTTTATCAATTTTATTTAATCTTTCAAAGAACTAACTCTTCAATTCATTGATTCTTGGCATTGTTTTCTTTTTTATTTCTTTTTTTTTTTAGTGCCAGGGATTGAACTCAGATCCTTCCGCTTGCGCAGCAGGTGGCGAAACCACTGAGCCAAATCCCTGGCCCTTGGGATTGTATTCTTAGTCTCAACTGCATTAATTTATGCTCTGATCTATATAATTTCTTCCCATAGGAGCTTTGGGCTTGTCATACTTTTCTTTTTCTAGAAGCTTGAGGTTCAACTTTAGGTTTTTTATTTGATCTCACTCTGTTTTCCTGATGTGAAAGTTCACTGCTATAAATTTCTCTCTTAGAACTGCTTTCATTGTGTCCCATAAGTTCCAATATATTGTATCAGCATTATCATTTAGTTGCAGGTAATTGTTTAATTTCTTCTTTAATTTCAACTGTGACCCATTCATTGTTCAGAAGGATATTATTCAATTTCCACGTGTCTATGGAGTTTCAGTGGTTTATTTTGCCACTTATTCCCAATTTCATTGCATGATGGTATGATAAAATGCATGGAATAATTTCAATTCCTTTGTATTTACCTAAGCATATACTATGAGCTAGTTTGTGGTCTATTTTGGAGAACATCCCATGTGCGACTGAGAATATTTATTCTGATGTTGTAGGGTGAAACATTCTGTAGACATCCACTAAGTCCATTTGTTCACAGGTTTGGTTCAGTTCTGATATTTCTTTGTTGATTCTTGGTCTAGTTTATCTATTTGTGACAGTGGGGTATTTAGGTTCCTCATTACAATTGTGTTAGTGCTTATTTGATTTTCAGGTCCATTAATGTTTGTTATATATAGTTGGGTGTGCCAATATTTAGTACATGTATATTTATGATTGTTATCTCTTCCTCTTGGACTATTCCCTTAATAAGCATGTAGTGACCTTTTTTTTGTCTCTCTTGATCTGTCTTGGCTTGAAGTTCACTTTGTCTGCAAATAGAATAGCAACCCTTGCTTTTCTCCAGGTTCCTGTCACATGGAGTTTTGTTTTCCATCATTTGACTTTCTGTCTATGAATTTTTTGCAGGGTAAGTGTGTTTCTTGTATGTAGCATATCTTTGGATCTTGTTTCTTGATCTATCCTGCCAGTCTGTTTCTTTTGATCGGTGAAGTGAAATATTGGTGATGGTTATATTGGCTTATCATTATCATATTATTTACAATGATAATATATATTGACTTATTATGTATTATTTTCCCATTGTTGGTTTTTTTTCTTCCCCCTCTGTTTAATCAATTGCCTTGTCTGATGGATTCATTTTGTTGATGTTTGTGGAGATGTAGTCTTCATTATCTCTTTTTAGAATATCCTTCAGAACATTTTGAAGTACTGGTTTTGTGGTCATGAATTTCTTCAGATGTTCTTTGTCATGGAATTATCTTATTTCTCCATCTATTTTGAAAGAGAGTTTTACAGGGTACATTAATCTGGGTTGGAGGTTGTTTTCTTTTAGGGTTGAAATGCTTTACTCCAAGCTCTCCTTGCCTTAAGGGTTCATTTGAGAAGTTTTCTGTGATTCTGAAGGGCGTTCCTTTATAGGTGATTTATTTCCTTTTCTAACAACTTTTAATATTTTAATATTTTTAATATTTAATATTCCATTCTTGTGTTGAATTTCTGGAACCTTGACTGTTATATGCCTTGGTGTAGATTTTTTTTTGTTAAGTGTGCACTAGTTTATTGACCAAACTTCATGTTGCAGACAACTTGTGACAGGTCAAGAAACTCCTCCAGGCCTGTGGCAGCTGAACATTTCCTTGATGGAAAGGTAAACAGGAACATGGTGTAGGCAGGGCTTATGAGGAAGCCAGCCAGCCTTAGAGGAGTGCTACATGGGTCTTCAGAAGAAAACAGTTACTACTACACCCCCCTAAAAAATAGAGCCCTGCAATCAAATGTGCAAAGGATGAAGAAACCCATTTGGGCCATGGTGAGGGGAGAGAGTTTTGCAGCAATTGTAAGTTTACAGCTGATCTGAGGGGCCATGCCTAGGCACTCAAGGGCTCAGCTGGTCTACCAGTGAAGGCCTGAGGGTGGTGTCTTCTCATCTTTATTGCTTTCCAGGGATAAATGTGGGATTCGGACATCAAAATAGGAGCCATCAGGTCACTCGAAGTGGAACGTGCCTCACATGTGCCAACTAGAGGCCTGCAGGGAGACATGGCTGCTATACTGGAATGCAGGCTGCTCCTTGGATAACACTGGCTCCCTGCCCACCACCCCTCGGCCTCGAACTGTCTCCAAGGTGCCTGAGAGACTAAATATCCTCCAGTGCCACTCCCGGAGCTGTACCACATCACTGTCCAGGTTCTCCAAGTGGAAACAATAGCGCCACCAGTAGACATGGGAATTCTGGGCTTCCCTCATGCCCATGTAGAAAGGGATGACGGTGACACGGATGTTCTCAGTTGTCTCCTAGTGGACATCAGACAGCTCTAGCCAGGGGTGATTCTTCTCTTGCCAGGCCCGTAGTGTTTCCCGAGCCACAAAAGGGGGTGCTTTTGTCTGGTCATACAGAAGAAATCTTTCGAAGAGCTCATGTTGGATGGGAACCTGATCAGTGGAGGTGTAGGGGAGGATGTCTTCATGGCTCACATAGTCCAGGCCTGGAATGGCATAGAGGGCCTGGCTGTCATCGTGGTTACCCAAAAAGGACACAGCTTCTGTCTGAGATCTCTGAGATACATGTGGACAGTCTCAGGCATCAATCAGCACCTGATAGTAAGTGTGAGTTTTGCCTTTCACCTCCTTAGAGCCATGCCCAGCAGGATTCTCTGCTTTTTCTG